GTATCGTTCCATGTCGTTGGCTCCGTTTAATGATTTGACTTCGGTTAGGTTTTTGTAATAAATAAAAATTAATTTCTATGAAAACTAGTCCTAAAAAAGTTATAATTCTCAAATCCAACAAAAGCAGAGAAAATTATCTTAATAGTTTGACTATAAAAAACCCCAATTATTATTAGTAAAAATGGAAAAAAAAAAAGAAACGGATATATCGATCGTTTGAAAGTCTAAATAAAACGTCGCGACCAAATTCGAAACCCAATATTTGTGTTTCTTAGTGCATTTCGTTTATATAAAGGTGCCACTTTTCATTTAAAATAAAGTTTGTCTCGAAATCAAACTCGATATTTTTCAAAAAAAAAATTTAATATTTAATTTTCCATTAATATTTTCCTTGTCAATTTGTCACATATCAATTTTCATAAATTTACCCTCCTTCATCGGGCTCTAATTTCTGCACCCAAATTTATTACACACTTGTATTTTTCGTCCTGTCTGAAAGCTCTTGTCCAAAATGATGAACACTCAAAAATATCTAAACTTTCTTTTATTTTTTCTTTATTTAATTTTGATATATATTCCATATTTGTAGTAGAAGACAGAACATCTTGTCTTAAAAAATTGCTAAAAATAAGTCCATGTAACAAATAATTAATCAAACTATTACATTTATTTAGGACTTTATATTAATAATAATAATTTCCCCATCAATTGAAATGGACCCATTTCCTGAAATCTTCAACTTGTCCTATTCCCCAATTGGGACCAACTCATGTAACAGCACTCCAATTTTTATTTATTTTTATTTAAACATATATATATATATATATATATATATATATATATATATATATATATATATATATATATATATATATATATATATATATATATATATATATATATATATATATATATATATATATATATATATATATATATATATATATATATATATATATATATATATATATATATATATATATATATATATATATATATATATATATATATATATATATATATATATATATATATATATATATATATATATATATATATATAAATTATAAATAATCCCTAGGAAATTGAATTTTCTCTAGATATTATTTGTTCCCATATATGTATTATATATTATTGAATATATATAATGTTGGGTTTTCGCCTGGTGTGACACTGTTACCCTTACATTGATACATCATGCCCTAAAAAATAAAAACAAAACATTAATATATAGGAAATCTTCAATTATTTCAATCACAAAGATATTCAACACTAATCTAGAGGACACCATATTTCTCAACCCTACATAAACACATACACTAAATGACACGTCTATTATTTCCATTTTTATTTTTTACTATACATATGTATTAGTGTTTTTTGGTTTTTTTAAGGACATCACTTTCATAGGTGATCGATGAACCTCTTACATATATTACCTACTAATAACTAAAAAACTAAATTACAATTAGTACTTGCCCTAAGTCGATAATTAATTTTTGGGATCATTTGAGATAAGCTACTGTTGAGGTGCAAATCATGTCCCACATCGGTTTAACATGAGAAAGATCACTCATTTATCATATTAATGTGGAGTTTGTGTTATTCTGTGGGCCCCCAACAATGGTATTAGAGTCATGGCGCAGACTTAACCATGTGGTGGAAATTGCTGGAATCTATGTGGAATATCCGGAATCCTCGGTGCTGAACAAATATGGTGAGCTCCCGGTGCCCAAATGGCAGGCGGCTCGACAAGCTCCAGGTGGGAGGCCAGTGTTCCTTTGTTCGAGACTCGGTTCGATCTGAAACTAAGATGGTGTAATGAGCCCTAGGCGCATATCGAGGGGAGAAATCAGTTGGACTCGGCCCAATTTGGACAATATCATACCAATGTGGAGTTTGTGTTATCACTTGGGCCCCCAACACAGAAGCTACTATAACTAGTGAAAAACCAAACCAAAATAATACTTTGAGATACCCCTGAAGAAGCAAAAATACTATACTACCCTAACATGCAATTTTCGTCATCTGAATTTACTGTCTTGTAAACGACTACAAATAACTATAGTTATTCACTTATTTGTGGTTATGTTCTTTCGTTTTGCCTCATCTGGTTTTCCAATCCTTCCCCTCATATGTGATATTAATTTATACACATTCTGAACAAAATTTAGAGATCATCATGAAAACAAGTACAACAACCTTACATTTAATTTGTAATGTATATATATAAGCTGTTATTTTAGTCTTCTGGTCTTAACATAATTATTAAAGAAAATACCCAATTACTGTTATGTATCTTTATTAGTAATGAACAATGTAAGAGAATTAATATACATGCTGATATATATAATAAAAAAAAATAGTATATGGTATGGTGAAAGAAGATAAGGGATAAATGTACAGTGTGACCAATAGTTTTAACTTAGGTGAAATTAATAAAACCATAAATAAATATATATGTGAAAAAGGTTGAGAATTAAATGAAGGGTTGCGTGGTGGTGTATATACAATACAAGTAGCTACCAGAATGACCCATTTCTTCTTTCTGTGGGCCCACTTATTTAATTTCTTATTCAATTTATTGCTATTAAATTAAATTTACTGGTTATTATTAATTAAATTATAGGAGAACAAGATTTACCTCCTGGATTCCTTTGTTGCAAACGAAAACAAAATAAATAATTGTTGTTGTTATATATGTATGAGTCATTGTGAAATTATGACACTACAAAACAAAGGTCTTGTTGATTAATAAGGGCAACAACCCTATACCCTCTATCACTTATGACATTTTGTATCTATCTATCTATATCTATATATATATATATATACACACACATATATATAACTCAACTATATACATATTCCTTACATATATTCCCTTCCATTTCTTTGCTAAACTTTTTCATTCAACATCTTCAAGAACACATCTCTTTCTCTCTCTCTAGATATTTCTCTCTCTCTCTCTCTCTCTCTCTCTCTCTCTCTCTCTCTCTCTCTCTCTCTCTCTCTCTCTCTCTCTCCACACTCTCTGCTTCTTCTCTAACTCTGCAGCAACTAGGTGTACAATTCAATTATCTTACATGCACACACACATAAGAAGACACAGAAACACGATAACGCCGTTAAGTAGCGGAAGTTTGGTTAAGTGGATATTCTGTTTGATATAACGATCGAATTATTAAAAATGATGATGATGAATAATTGTACGGATCATCAATTATCAGACGGCTCGGAAGAAACTAGCTACAGCGGCGGCTCATTACTTTCCTTCTCTTCATCCACGTCATCACTCAACTCGTTATGTCAAACCCAGTCTCCTCCTCCACCTCCCTCCTCCGCCGCGGCGGCGAATAAGAAGATCAAGAGAGTGAGAGAGGCGGCGGCCAGCAGTAACTCCAGCACCAAGCACCCTGTTTACCGAGGGGTGCGAATGCGGAACTGGGGAAAATGGGTTTCCGAAATACGGGAGCCCCGGAAAAAGTCGCGCATCTGGCTGGGGACTTTTCCGACGCCGGAAATGGCGGCGCGTGCGCACGACGTGGCGGCGGTGAGCATCAAGGGCGCCTCCGCGATACTCAATTTCCCGGAGCTGGCTTCCGCCCTGCCCCGCCCGGCCTCACTCAGTCCCCGCGACATCCAGGCCGCGGCGGCGAAGGCGGCGGCGATGGACAAATTCGACATCCCGACATCGTCTTCTTCTTCTTATTCCAGCACGTGCTCTTCGTCGGGGAGCTTGTCTTCGCCGCCGTCGCTGGTATCCTCCATAGACCTGTCTGCAACTCTAGAAGAACTGAGTGAGATCGTCGAGCTGCCGAGTCTGGGGTCGTGCTTCAACTCGTTAGAAATCAGGAATGAGTTTGTGTACGTCGACAACATGGCCTCCGACGAGGGGTGGTGGTGGAGTTGATCAACACGTACAGTCGAAACGACGTCGTACGCTGGAATAATTTACAGATTTTTTTTTCTCCTTTTTTATTTTCTTTTTTGTGGTTGTGGTGTAATTGTTAAGTACTTTTACGTTTGTCTTAATTAATTAATTAGTAGTTAATTGTGAAGGAAATTACTAAATTAGCCTTTGCATTTTTTGTTTGAAGGGCTAAAAATCATTTGTTCTTCACTTCTTCCCATCCACCACGTTCATCTTCAATGAATCTAACTGTACAGTGTGTTCTCACTCTTAAAAGTCTTTCTCTCTCTTATTTATTTATTTTTAATCCCATAAAAAAAAAGAAAAAAAAAAGTTATTTATTCCAAATAAACAGTAAAAATAATCTCCATAAAGAAAACCTGACAATTAATTTTCCGAAAAGGGCAAATTAAACAGTAAACCCTTCTCGTTTTACATCCATTTTATTTTACCTTATTTGACTAAAAAAAGACATAAACAAATGTTTCAAAAATTGCAATTTTTTGTCACAATTATCATTATATATATATATATATATATATATATATATATATAAATATATATATTCGTCAAAAAGTACCTGACTGTATCAGTTGAAATGAAGGTTCAGGAGTTTCACTTAAATTGGAAATAATTTAGGAGGAATCAATCATGAATTAAAACATAGTAGATTCGTGATGATTGGATAACATATTTATTTTATCCACTTTCTCTAAATGGAATGCTATTCTTTTTTTTTTTTTTTTCGATTTCACTTATAATTATATCACTGACAAATAATGATCAGAAATGTTAATTATTACCTTATTATTATTAGTACTCAAACTATGCACGTCTATATAACAAAATAAAAATCATATTTCTCAATTAGATTATTCATTCGGTTGCAAAATTTTGATTTTTTTTTAATTTATTACTATATACCAAAATAAATTAAGTTTCAAGATGATTTTTGGGTGTAATTTATGTCAACGCCTCTAGCTAGTTCGAGCCATTTTCAAGTCGTTCGAGGCACGAAATTAAAATTAAGTCCACTCAAATTTAAAACTGAACAGTGAAATATATTGTTCAAAATTCAATTAGGTCAACAGCCTTTTTAATATATATATATGTAATATTTCATTAATACATATATTACCATGTTCTTAAAGCATCTAAGCCAGTTCAATTTTAATGTATACCAACTACTTTAAAATTAACCACATTTTTCATAACGCATCAGATATTTTATCATGCCTCCCATTTGTGGTATTTATTTTTTATTTATTTATTTATTTTGGAATTTGTGGGGGCAGTTTGGTTAGTTAGACTGAACAACTGATATCTCATTAATACTCTATTATTCGTCTCTATTAAAATCTATATATATGGTGTAAGAGAATCTTTAATTCATTAGTGTTTGTCTCTTTAGAGATATATTGAATTCCCATCTTAAAGTACTTGATTAATTTCTGATTAAAATCTTAATGCAATCACATTTATATACATATATAGATCGATACTTGATAAAATCGTGTTTTGCTAATGACTCGAGTTCGATTTTCTCGTGCTAATATTTTTTTCACATCGAACTCGTCACACGTTGGAGATATTTATAATAACTTTATCTCCTAATTTAGTTACATCTTTATTTCAACACAAAGACACGTTCTTGGGTTTGTTTAATTATGTATAGCAAAGTAGGCAACAGTTGAAAGAGTAGTGCCCAACATTTTGCAAAAGCTAGCAAATTATTCCATGTTCCGAAATTACCCCCCAAGTCTTTGCTTTTATCAATTTATATATTTAGATGTGTATATTAATTATTTATAAAAATAATTTTACATATTAAAAAAAAAATCTGAAATTTTGACCTCCTTTGTGAATCAAAAAAATAGTTTTTCAGGAAAGTCAAAATAGATGTATTCAATTTCGGTTCTGACTTTTAAATTTCTTTTCATTTTAGATTGTTCTCAAGAGTTGACTGCGAATTTGATGCCCCAATTCAATTCATTTCCAATTCTTACTATTAAAAATGCTAACAAACGGTATATTATAAGCAATATATAAGAAAGGGATATTTTGGTAATTTCTGTTATGTAGTAGCACTGATCAAAATAAAATTCCTACAAATCAATATCCAGTGCCAGTAGATAAAGCACTAATCAGCTAACTGGAGGGCATTTTCTCAATACAACAAAGGGGTATTTTGGTATTTTCCTATTTCGAAATCCTCTACTTTTTATGGAACTTGAATCGTTAGACGCAACACGCTCGTTACTTCACCGACTAGACCACATTTACGGAAAATTATTTCCTCATCTTCCTTTCTCGTGACATGATCCAAAAATGAACTTATTTCGATTAAGCACTTTCATACATTACAACTTTTTTTAAAAAGATAGGAAATAATATTAAAGAATGGACTTGTTAATTGTTATCTAGAAATTAATGGTGGGTCAATATATATTATCACATCAACTTTTTAATTCACAGACAAAAAAAGCTTTTGGGTTTGAGTGAATAGGAATAGTAAAAGACGACAAAAAAAAAAAAAAAAAAAAAAGCACTTTTATTTTTTGGTAAACCTCAAAAAAGCTATTTTATACATTATTGATTCTAATGTTGTGTGCTATAGGCCAGGTATATATATATATATATACACTTCCCTGTATGTATGTATGTTACTGCTGCTGCAACCTTGGAACTTTATATACAAGCAGCTGGGGGAAAATAGTATAAGTTGTGCTTAATTGATTCCCAAGTCCCTACACTTTCTCAGCAAATTCTATTTCACCCCTTTAATTTTAGGATATATTAATTAATTTTCACTACAATAAATAATCTGTTGAGGAGTTTTTTTTTTCCATTATAATTATATATATGTCATCAATTAGTGAGTAGAATTTACTGCATGCATAGTTTTTATTTACAACATAATAATTAAATTATATATTAAATAATTTATTTTTTAGTTGTGTGGTTCAATTACTTGACATGTCTCGAACTAACCCTAACAAGAGGCCACTGTCACAAATAATTTGATGATGTAACAGCTAAGAATGTGCCAGCTGCTTAGACAACTTATTCAATTAAATTTATATATATATATATATATATATATATATATATATATATATATATATATATATATATTAATAAAAATTAATAACAATACAACATTTTCGCTTTTCCAGATAATTAGCACTAATTTAATCACAAATCTAAAGGCAGGCAGGAAATAAGGTAGCATTTTTACATGATTAATTTGTTAATTAAGCATATAAACTCAGTCACGTGACTTTTTTTTACGGTAATTAAACTGATGAACTGTCATTAAGTCAAATCAAATAACAAATCATTATTCCTCAGACAATTATCTCGTCTAAGAAAGTGACTTAATTAATGCGTTACTTAACAACCTCTTGTGATAATCATATCTTAAACAATTCAGATTTTAATCCTGATACATATTCATTTCGTTCATTAAGCAATTAATTTTAATCATTCGTAATTATAACAACGTTAAAATTTATAATTATGTTAATCTCAAGCACGTGCCTTGCAAATTACTAACATTCTGTCCCAATATTTATATAAATTATTTTATTTTATTTCTTTGGCCAAAAATGTTGCATGTAATTAATATTTCCTGGCAATTGAGAACATAAATTGTGCCAGCATAATGTGCAGATGAGGAGGTGAACGAAATTTAATTTCACATAACAAAATTTTTTATTTAATTTATTTATTTTATAATCAGAATAATAAATAGTTCAATTATCAAAATTAGACAACGCACATCACGACATGCTCTGATAGTATTCAAAGATCCGTTCGACTGTGAATCTAATTATTTTTCGTTCACTTGTGAATTCGAATGCGGTCGTAATCTATACACACTTGGAACGAAAAATTAATTAATTTGAAAATAGAATATGTCTTGTACATTAAATAATTTAATTTGTATATATATATATATATATATAGATAAGTGGGCAGCAAACTTTAATGTTCATTGGTACAACAAACAATGAAATGAAAATGATGGGTCGAAATTTAGGGTACTAATAACATTGACCCATTGACTATTTTTCAATCAATTTTTTTTCTCAATTATAAAAAATAATTGGAGTGCAATGGCCTACTTGTAGCTAAGGTCAGAAATTAATATTTATAATATATTAAAAATTAATTGTGTTTTATTTAGAAGCAAATATTCGCCAACTATATATCCATCGATATATTGGTTTTTGTTTTATATATAATTATTAATTTAGTCAATTTTTATAAAGCTCTCAACTTTTTGGTCATCATATTCAAAAGTGTGGTTCGTGTTTCAAATTTGCCGACTCTAATTTTATTTTATTTTTGTCTGCAAATGATAACATTTACTTTTATCGTATACGAAAATTATTTCTAATTTATGGACTCGGTATTGTACGTTGAATTGTTTTGTGTCGACAATGTAATTATTAGTTCGTATAATCGGCAAAAAGAAAAAAAAAAACGACGCCGTAGCATGCATGAATGGCCTTTTTCTTATAGTCGTCGACAATAATATCGGTACTCTTAAAATATATATACATGCGTAAATTAATAATAGTAAATAAATATATAATGCTAATGATTTCTCAATTGTAGTACATCACATTTTTTTGTCACCGGAGTAGTTTACACGAAAAATAAATAATTTTTTGCAATTTAAGTAATTAAGGCCTCGTTTGGTTGCCAAGATTAGATTAGCCAAGATAAGACTAAATAATCTAATAAAACCCAATTGTTTTATTGGACCTTGGAAGGTCCAACAAAAAATATGCTTAAAAGGTAAGATAAGACATGATAATATAATTTTCGCGGGTCGACCCGCCAAGTTATTGGGGATACCAAACATCCAACAAAGTCCAACTATTTAGTTAATCATGGATAATCTCCCCAACCAAACGGGGCATAAATGAATAAGAACAAAAGATCCTACGTGTACAATGGGATTAAGAAATGATTAGTGTGCCCCTCTTATGATTCAGTTAAGATTCGCTTTAATTGCCACTACTAATAATGGCAATGCTACTTGTACCTATTTACATTATATTATTAGCTAAGTAGGGTTTCTATTAATTAAGTATGGTCACACAATTAGGGTTTTGATTTAACAATTAAATATCTTCTAAATGAGGAAAGTTGGGAGAATCAACGTCTATTCAAACCCTAATCCCATCAATTAAATCAGTAAGTCGGCTGATTATGAGATATTTTATAATTAATTACATTAATTAATTTCAACATGTAGTAGCACC